ACTTCCTAGAAGAATTATGAGTTACATCAAAGAAAACACAAAATTTCACACATTTTCACATGTTATGCAGCAGAGAAATCTGTTCTACATTTGGATTGTCATTAAGCTTCATAGCTTCTCTATGTTTACCTGTGCAGAGTGATTTTAGTGAAGACAGCAGCATATGGATTTGTGCTCTATTGCTAGCAATTCTGTTTCAAGACAGAGACATCATACGTGCGCATGCAACCATGAAGTCTATACCAGCACTTGCAAACTTGTTGAAGTCAGAGGAGTCTGCAAACAGATATTTTGCTGCACAGGCAACAGCCAGTCTAGTGTGTAATGGTAGTCGGGGAACACTTCTTTCTGTTGCAAATTCTGGGGCATCAGGTGGACTCATCTCCTTACTTGGCTGTGCTGATGGTGATATATCTGATCTTCTGGAATTGTCCGAGGAGTTTGCTTTGGTATGTTATCCAGACCAAGTTGCGCTTGAGAGGTTATTCAGAGTTGAAGACATTAGAGTTGGTGCTACATCTCGCAAAGCAATACCTGCTCTTGTTGATCTACTCAAACCAATTCCAGATCGTCCTGGGGCACCTTATCTAGCATTAGGACTTCTAAATCAGTTAGCAAAAGACTGTCCTCCAAATAAGACTGTTATGGTTGAATCAGGGGTTTTGGAGGCCCTGACTAAGTATCTTTCACTTGGTCCACAAGATGCAACCGAGGAAGCTGCAACTGATCTGTTAGGGATCCTATTTAATAGTGCTGAGATTCGGAGACATGAAGCTGCTTTTGGTGCTGTCAGTCAACTTGTTGCTGTCCTGCGCCTGGGTGGAAGAGCTGCAAGGTATAGTGCTGCTAAAGCATTGGAAAGCTTGTTTTCTGCTGATCACATCAGGAATGCAGACACTGCCCGACAAGCTGTCCAACCCTTGGTGGAAATTCTTAATACTGGTCTAGAGAAAGAGCAGCATGCAGCTATTGCTGCATTGGTTAGGTTATTGAGTGAAAACCCATCTAGAGCCCTTGCATTTGCAGATGTTGAAATGAATGCAGTGGATGTTCTTTGCCGGATCCTCTCGTCAAATTGCTCAATGGGGCTGAAGGGGGATGCTGCGGAGTTGTGTGGTGTTTTGTTTGGAAACACAAAAATCAGGTCTACAATGGCTGCAGCACGCTGTGTTGAGCCTCTGGTATCTCTCCTTGTATCTGAGTTCAGTCCTGCCCAGTATTCAGTTGTCTGTGCATTAGATAAGCTTGTTGATGATGAGCAACTGGCAGAACTGGTTGCTGCACATGGAGCAGTTATTCCTCTTGTTGGCCTTCTCTATGGTAGGAACTACATGCTTCATGAGGCTATCTCCAGAGCACTTGTGAAGTTGGGGAAAGACAGGCCTGCTTGTAAAATGGAAATGGTAAAAGCTGGAGTAATTGAAAGCATACTTGATATCTTCCATGAAGCACCAGATTTTCTCTGTGCAGCATTTGCTGAATTGCTCAGAATATTGACCAATAATGCCAGCATTGCCAAGGGGCTGTCTGCTGTGAAAGTTGTTGGGCCCCTTTTCCTGCTGCTGACAAGACCAGAATTTGGGCCTGATGGACAACATAGTGCTTTGCAGGTTCTAGTTAATATTCTGGAACATCCACAGTGCCGTGCAGATTATAACCTCACCTCTCACCAAACTATCGAGTCACTCATCCCATTGCTTGATTCTCAAGCGCCAGCAGTGCAACAGCTGGCTGCTGAGCTTCTGTCACATCTGCTTATGGAAGAACATCTTCAGAAGGATCCGGTGACACAGCAAGTAATTGGTCCTCTTTTACGGGTTCTCAGTTCTGGTATACACATCTTGCAGCAGAGAGCTGTAAAGGCTCTTGTTAGCATTGCACTAATATGGCCAAATGAAATTGCAAAGGAGGGTGGTGTGAGTGAGTTGTCCAAAGTTATATTGCAAGCTGATCCTTCTCTTCCTCATGCCTTGTGGGAATCTGCTGCTTCTGTTTTGGCTAACATTTTACAGTTTAGTTCTGAATTTTATTTGGAAGTGCCTGTAGCTGTCTTGGTAAGGTTGCTCCGTTCTGGTTTGGAAAGCACGGTGGTTGGTGCACTGAATGCTCTTTTGGTGTTAGAAAGTGACGATGGAACAAGTGCTGAAGCTATGGCTGAAAGTGGTGCCATAGAGGCTCTTTTGGAACTTCTGAGAAGCCATCAGTGTGAGGAAACAGCAGCAAGGTTGCTGGAAGTATTACTTAACAACGTGAAAATCAGAGAATCAAAAGCTACTAAAACTGCAATCTTGCCATTGTCGCAATACCTTTTAGATCCCCAAACTCAAGCACAACAGGCAAGATTACTGGCCACTTTGGCACTTGGTGATCTATTCCAGAATGAGGGCCTGGCTCGAAGTACTGATGCTGTGTCAGCTTGTCGTGCTCTAGTCAATGTGCTTGAAGAGCAACCTACAGAAGAAATGAAAGTAGTAGCAATATGTGCTTTGCAAAACCTGGTCATGTATAGCCGATCCAATAAAAGAGCTGTTGCAGAGGCTGGTGGTGTTCAAGTTGTATTGGATCTAATCGGTTCAAGTGATCCAGATACATCTGTCCAGGCTGCAATGTTTGTTAAACTTCTTTTCTCCAATCACACCATTCAAGAGTATGCATCTAGTGAAACAGTCAGAGCCATAACAGGTTAGGTTCTCTTCTCCCAGTGCACAGTTTGTCTACTCTTGGCAGATTTGAGGAGAATACGCCTAATCTTTTTACGATGACATTTTTCTTTGTGGTTTTAGGTAGTGGTTTGTAGTTTGGAATGTTATTCTAACATTTAGTTAAACATATCTCCAAGAAATATGATTTTCTTTCATGCTAAGTTCAGAGGTTAATTGAAGGAGACCAAAATGAAATAAATCTTACCACTAAAATGTAAGAAGAGGCAGATTTGGATAGAAATGGTATGGGATCTAATTGGACCGAATGAGTTGCTTGCTAGTTCAGATTTTAACTCATGTTGAAGTAGAGCAGACATCTAAATGTGAGCTAACTTCTCAAACTCTTAACAGATGATGGATCACATGTAAAGTTGAATCAGAGTGTGAAACTGCTTACTATTCTCTATACCATTGGGCAAAATAATAGTAATATTCTGATTATTACTTGAAGCCATATTGAAATAGAGGGGATGAACAGTAGCCTTTGTGCGTTGGTGAAAATTTTTCGTTGTCCATTTCTTTATTCAAGCTACATGGCCTTTCATTACTCTTTTCTTGAAAGACATGATAGACAGTTGAGCAGTGGAGCAACCCTGGCCAGTGGCTAGGTTCATCAGTATTTGGAAATTAGTTTAATTATTGACTTCAGGATTAGGTGTATTGTACTTTCCTATTAAAATGCTATGAGTTTTCTGCCAGGGTGTTTTTTCAGTTTTCTTTCACGCTCAGCTTAACATTCTGTTTGGTTGTGCAGCTGCTATCGAAAAGGATTTATGGGCCGCTGGGACTGTTAATGAGGAGTATCTCAAATCTCTAAATGCCCTTTTTAGCAACTTCCCAAGGTTGAGAGCCACCGAGCCTGCAACGCTCAGTATACCCCATTTGGTCACATCTCTCAAGACAGGATCAGAAGCATCTCAAGAAGCCGCCTTGGATGCACTGTTTCTTCTTAGGCAAGCTTGGTCAGCATGCCCAGCTGAAGTTTCAAGAGCTCAATCTATTGCTGCTGCAGATGCAATCCCCTTGTTGCAATACTTGATTCAGTCTGGCCCACCTCGATTTCAGGAGAAGGCTGAATTTCTGCTGCAGTGTTTGCCAGGGACATTGGTGGTTATTATCAAGCGTGGAAACAATATGAAGCAGTCGGTGGGGAACCCAAGTGTTTATTGCAAGCTTACCCTTGGAAATACACCACCCAGGCAAACAAAGGTAATATGCATCTATACATCATCTTGTTTATTTTTTGTGATGTTTATATCTCCAATTATCATTTATTTTTAAGGAAAAATAAAATAAATAAAGGGTAATTTATATCAACAGATTATCCAATTCATCTATTGTAGCCATCTTTTGATGTTCAACTCACCATTGCTCCTGTTCAAAAGAGAATTTCCTCTCGCCATTGCTTTCCCTACTTTTTTCCCCTAGAAATTGCTATTTCAACCTCTCAAATTGAAAAATATTTGTGAACTTTTCAGGTTGTATCAACTGGTCCTAATCCGGAGTTTGATGAGAGCTTTTCATGGTCCTTTGAGAGTCCTCCAAAAGGCCAAAAGCTTCATATCTCTTGCAAAAATAAGAGCAAAATGGGGAAGGTAATTAATGGAATTGATTTTTTTTTTTCCCGTGAGAAAACAAATCAAAAAAAGGTTGTTTTGATGTTTATCCACATTTTATCAGAGATTTTTTCTTTACATTGTCATTAAACTGTACCTTTTGATCCAACAACAGAGTTCTTTCGGAAAAGTAACAATCCAGATCGATCGGGTTGTAATGCTAGGAGCAGTAGCTGGGGAATACACTCTGATGCCAGAAAGCAAAAGTGGACCCTCGAGGAATTTGGAAATTGAATTCCAGTGGCCTAACAAGTAACAGATGTTAAAGACGAGACAATCATTCAGCACAAATTGAGATTTTAGGGAGAAAATATGATCAATTCGGTTACTTATACCCGTTCCAGTGTATATAGTTTGCCAGAGAACCTGATTTTTGTAGTTGTTTGCCAAAAGCCGTAAGATAGCAATTTTTTCAAACGTGTATTCTTTTGTAATCCGAGTTTCCTATGATATTTCTGGGCTGAACCACAAGAACAAACACACAGTTTTCATTGTAATTTTTGTTACCCATAGTAACGTGCTTGTCCACCCGAGATGAAAATAATAATAATAATAATAATAACTGTTCTGGTTTCGGATATGAACATATTTGAGCTATGTTGGTGTTCGATCATTATGAAAGAAATAGCAAATGCTTTATTGTCTTCTTCCGGAAATCTATGTTTATTGTATATGTTTCCTGTATATCAATATATATATGTATATGTGATTACAAGTTTTCACTTCTAATACACATATGTTTAATTCCAGAGCAGCACACACACACACACAAAAAGAGAGAGATGCTTACAGACAGCTCAAAAACCATGTAAAGTCTTTGTTGCCACTGTGATCACCTCAGGAATCTGCATCACACAACAGATCATTAGTAAACTTAAAAGGCAATTAATGGATAATCATTATCATTGACAATCTTTCTTCTAAATGTCAACAACTGGTCTCTACCTATGGATGAGGGAATGATTTCACCTCTTTCTCTCGTCTTGATTCCAAGAAGCATTTCCCTGATTCGATGCAATTCAACCACAACGTTGGCAATGCCCATCCTCTCTCCTGGCAATTCTGCAGAACAAGCAAGTCCTGCCCTGATAATTGAAACCATAGATTCCATAACTTTGTGACGATCATCAATATGGTTCATTTCCTCGTGTTCTCTCAGTGTTGGATCCACAAACTCCAACACGTTGTCAGGCAGCACCATTTTAGCGTAATTGTGAAGGTTGTGCCCGTCTTTAAACATGCCCTCTGTCGGTCTTCTTCCTGTAAACATCTCCAGCAGCAGGATGCCATAGCTGTACACATCTCCGTAAGTTGACACTTCACTTCCCATACCGTACTCTGTGATTCATATACAAAGGTTAGAAATTACGTTGTTCATGACCTTGAGGCTGTTGCATAACATTAACGACATAGCTGGTCAATCTTGCTATTCAAAATTCATCAGCAGATGGGAATATGAAGGACAGTAGTTTTACAGCTTTCCAAAAATATTTTAGGATACCAAAATGTGCATTTCTTTTGTAGGGATAACCATGATCAACAGGGAAGTTTTCTGATGTTACCTGGGGCTGCATAACCGATTGTGCCTTTTAAGCCGACAGAACTGCTCTCATCTGCAGGTAATTGATTGGAGGCTTCTGGAAGGAACCTTGCTAATCCGAAGTCTCCAACACAAGCAGTCATGTCATCACCAAGGAGAACATTGCTGGGCTTCAGATCGCAGTGAACAACAGGAACTTGGCAGTGGTTGTGCAGATAGTCAAGCGCACTAGCCACATCAATTGCAATGTTCAATCTCTGAACGAGATCCAAATTTCTTGTCTCGGGTGTGACATCAGATATATGGACTGGATGCAGCCATTCTTCTAGACTCCCATTGACCATGAACTCGTAAACTAGAGCTTTGAAGTCATTTCCTTGAAAATCATTACTGGAACAAGCAGTTATTACCTTGACAAGATTTCGGTGCCTGATGTTTATCAACGCTGCACATTCTGCCATAAAACTTTTGGAAGCTCCTTTACGTAGAAGGTTCAATACTTTCACTGCAACAACTGCTCCATCTGATGTGAGAGTTCCTCTGTACACTGACCCAAAAGCACCTGCACCAACTAAATTGGACGAGGAGAACCCATCAGTTGCTTGCAGGAGGTCTTGGTAGGTTAGTCTCTGAAATGAGCTCTCCCATGAAGGGCCAGAAGCAGGCTCATCTTTCGTTCTTCTCGAGTAGAAAAGCAGGAAAGAGGTCATCAAGACTATACCAAGAAAGCCACAAGGAATTGCAATGATCAATATCAGCTTGGTATGAGATTTTGGCCTTGCTGGTTCGTTAGATGTGCATTTGGGCAGATCAAGCTGCGGTATTCCTCCACAGAGCTTCTTGTTTCCCTGAATGGAAATCCTACTTTTATTCTCAAAGACTCCTTGTTCGGGCACCTCACCTTCAAAGTCATTATATGACAAATCCAAAGTCTCCAGCAATTTTAAGTCTTTCAAGAACTGGGGAATCTGGCCACTCAAGTTGTTGTACGAGAGAAGAAGCATTTGAAGTGCTCGCAAAGAGCTCAAATCAGGAACAGGCCCTTCAAAAAAGTTACCCCCCAAATCCAAACCTTCTAAACTCTTACAACTGTCAAGACTTTTTGGAATTTCACCCGATAACCTGTTTTTGGAAACCCTCAGAAATCCAAGATTCACCAACTGATCCACTTCCGATGGAAGGGATCCTGTCAACTGATTATCATGTAGGTATAACAACACTGACAAGGATGAAATACCAAGTACTTCTTTTGGTATGGGACCGCTCAGATTGTTTTGAGAGAGATCCAAGAGCAACAACTTGTTCCAATTTCCAAGACTTGCCGGGATAGATCCTTGTAAATTGTTTTGTGCGAAACTAACTTCGACCAACGAGGTAATATTTCCCAATGAAGATGGAATACTTCCTGAGATTTTGTTTTCATTAAGATAGAGATCAACTAAATTTTGTAATTTACCAATAGAACTTGGTATAATGCCATGCAATTGATTTGTCTCCAAACTCAAAGTATCCAGGCTAATGAGGTTTCCAATCTCAGTTGGAATGCTTCCATGTATTTGATTCCTTCCAAATGTTATTCCCTTGAGATTTGCTGAGAAGTTACTCACTATTTCGGGCAGCACTCCTCCGAAATTGTTATCATTTATTCCCAATGATTCCAAATTGGTGCTGTTCGCCAAGGTATAGAGAAAACTCAAGTCATCTTCCTCACCGTTTCCGAGATCATTGTGGTGAACTAACAGCTTCTGTAGATCAGGCAAGCTTGATAAATCGGGTATTTTCCCAGTTAAGTTGTTATATGAAAGGTCAACAAGAAAAATTTTCGAGGCATTGGAGAGCGTTGCTGGAATTGGTCCGTTCAAATGGTTGAAGTTGATGACAAGGTATGCGAGATTTGGCAGATGGAGGCCTAAATCAGGAGGAAGACTCCCATGAAGTTGGTTCTGTCCTAGAGAGACATAGGCAAGAGAAGAGATATTGCATATGGAGGAAGGGATCGTGCCACTGAGATCATTTTCAGCAACCGCAAAGTATTTTAATCTTTTCAAATTTCCAAGACTGTCTGGAATACCTCCTCGCAAATAATTTTTCGTCCAGAAGAAGTTCTGAACGGAGGACAGGTTTCCAAAAGAAGATGGTATATCACCAACTAGATTGTTACCTTGGAGAACAAATGCCCCCAGCTTTGATAACGATCCCAGCTGTGCAGGAATTTTACCTGTAAGATTATTGCTCCCTAGATGAAGGAAAAGAAGATTCGAGCAACTTGAAATGTTGACAGGAATTTCACCGCTGAATGTGTTGTTTCCGAGCACCAACCTCTGTAGTCGGAACAACCGGCCTAGTTCTTGAGGAATATTACGACTGAAGTAGTTGCCTTCCAGGTTTAGTACCCTGAGAAAACTCAAGTTGCCAATATGGGGAGACAGGTTGCCCATCAGTTGGGAAGACTGCAGGTTGAGCTCTACGATTCTCTGATGTCGATGTCCACATATGACACCTGACCACTTGCAGAAGTGTGTGGATACATTCCATGAGCTCAGTGCATCAAGAGGATCGGTAATTTGAGCCTTGAAAGCTAGCAAAGAAAGTCTATCTGTCTCATTTCCTTCATGTAATGAAAAGGAAAATGAGAGTTGAATTATTAGTAAGAGAAGTGGGCAGAATATGCAAGAACTCATGCCTGATAACTCCATCTTCTACGTTTTCTCAGAGCTTAATTTAAGCATTGAAAATATATACACATCTTTGGTTAGAACTTAGCATTTCTGAGCCGCATTAATTGATTTTTTTTCTTTTAGAAGTTCTTTAAAAGTATTTTTTTTTAAATAATTTAATCTAATATTCTTTTTCATGTTTTTTAATAATTTTAATCTAATGTTTGAAAATTAAAACAACATCTGAAAAGATATCTTAATATATTTTTAAAGAAAAAATATTTTCAAGAAAAACCGTAGAATATTGAGAAGGAAACCTCTCTGGACATCACTGCAAACACAGCAAAGCATTTCATCAGATAATATATCATTTGATAATCACTGATCAATAAACATGTTGTATTTTCAAATTTCCACTTTCATCGACGATAAAATCACTAAAATGGCCTGTAGCATTGAACAGCACCTTGTTTTTCCGAAAACCCTGAAATATTTCCAGGGAGGACCCATTGTCAAAGCTTCTAATGTTTGTGCTCGTCAACCAGGGAGTCAGGAAAATAACTATCTCGGTGCTATAAGCTGTATTCGTTTCTTCTTCTTCTTTCTTTCTTTCTTTTTTCTTCTTCTTTTGATTATCGAAGAAATTGGCATCTTTTTCGTCTGTCAAGAGTTTGCTTTTCCTCCATATATTTCCTGTGGACTGAAACCAGTGAAAGCAAGGATGTCTTTTTTCGTATCTGGAATTGGTACTGCCTGGTTAGTAAAATTTAGCAAAGTGAACACATTTTGATCATGTCACCCACACACACATATAGAAAAAGCACATCAAATGAAGAGCTATGAATGGTCCACCGTCATTCTTGAGCCTGTTGACCAACTTCTTTCCTAGCTTCTCAATTTTTTTGGTAAACCTCAGTCCTCCAGACATTGTATAACAACGGAGTCTTTGGATTGCAAAGGCAACACCCTTAAATAGATTATATGGTAATTTTTTTAAAAAAAAAAAATTATTAGAAAATACTTTAAAATAATTTTTTTAAAATTTTTTAATATAAATATATCTAAACCACTAGAAAGTAATGAAAAAAACATCAAAGCTTTTTTAAGCCAGAAATATTTTTAAAAAACACTATTAAATAAATATTCTAAAATATGTGGAGAAAATATTGTAATTTTCCTTTTTTTTTTCCTTTTTTTTGGGTTTTACATGTTTTTTTCTTTTTTTCCAAGATTGTCTTCTTTTTTTATTTTTTTTTGTATTTTTTTCAAAATTATCTTTTTTATTTTTTTAAAATATTGAATTAATTGAGAATTTAGTTTTATAGATCTTTCTTTAAAATATTATATATTGCTATAGTATTTTTCTATATAGGTTTTTTCTTTTTTTTTATGAATTTTTTTCCTTTTCTTTTCCAAAATAGTCTTTGCTGATTTTTTTTTTTTCATATTGAGTTGATTGAGATTTTAACTTTGTAGTTCTTTAAAACACTATGAATTGTTACAGTGTTTCCCCACATGTTTTTTTAATTGATTTTTTTTAAAATTATCTTTATCAAATTTATTTTTTTCATACTAAGCTGGTTGAAAATTTAGTTTTGTAGTTTTTTCTTTAAAACACCGTTAATTGTATTAATTTTTCCCCATATGATTTTTTTTTATTTTTTTCAAAATTATCTTTATTGATTTTATTATTTTTAATATTGAACTAGTTGAAAATTATAACTGTAGATTTTGTCATGAAACACTATAAATTGCTACAGTGTTTCCCTGCATGATTTTTTTCCTTTTCTTTTTTTGTGATATTTTCCAAAATTATCTTTGTTGATTTTACTTTTTTTAATATTGAGTTGGTTGAAAATTACAATTATATATTTTCTCATAAAACACTATAAAATTTTTACAGTGTTTTCCTAAATGATTTTAATATTAAGCTGGTTGAGAATTTAGCTTTAACTTTCCTCACATGTTTTTTTTTTTATTTTTTTTCAAAATTATCTTCTTCCTTTTTTTTTCTCTTTTTTCTTGTGTTGTGTTTTTCAAAATTGTTTTTGTCTATTTTATTTTTTTAATATTGAGCTGGTTGAAAATTTAGCTTTAACTTTCCCCGCATGTTTTTTTTTTAAATTGTCTTCTTCTTTTTTTTCTCTCTTTTTTCTTATGTTGTTTTTTTCAAAATTATTTTTGTTAATTTTATTTTTTTAATATTGAGCTGGTTGAGAATTTAGCTTTATAGTTTTTTCTTTTAAAACACTATGGATTACTATGTTGTTTCCCCAAATATTTTTTTTTCTTTTTTATGATTTTTTTCTAAAATTATATTTGTTGATTTTATTTTTCTCATATTAAGCTGATTGAGAATTTAGTTTTGTAGTTTTTTTCTTTAAAAAACTGTGGATTGCTATAGTATTCCCCCCATATGATTTTTTATAAATTTTTTTAAAATTATTTTTATCAATTTTATTATTTTTAATATTGAGCTGCTTGATAATTATAACTTTAGAATTTCTTATGAAACATTATAGATTGCTACAGTGTTTCACTACTTGGTTTTTTTCCCTTTTGTTTTTTTTTTCTAATTTTTTTAAAATTATCTTTCTCAATTTTATTTTTTTAATATTAAGCTGATTGAGAATTTAACTTTATACTTTTCTTCTTAAAAATATTGTGGATTGCAATATTTTTTCTTTACATGATTTTTTTAATGTTTTTTTTCACAAACCCCAACAACACACAAGCCCGCGGTATTGCGCGGACATGACATCTAGTGGATAATATAGATGATGTAATATTTCTTTATAAAAACATATAATCAATGTATCTATGTTTTAAATTAATGCATTTAAATAAACTTTATTATAGATTGCAACAATACATTTTTGTAGTTTTTTCCTTAAAAATATTATGGATTGCAATAGTTTTTCTCCATATAATTTTTTTATGTTTTTTTTATCACAAACCCCAACAACACACAAGCCCGCGGTATCACGCGGGCATGACATCACATAAATAATATAAAAGATGTAATATTTCTTTATAAAAACATATAATCAATACATCTATTTTTTAAATTAATGCATTTAAATAAACTTTATAATATATTTTGTTCTCTAAATACAAACCTAAAAAAAGTATTCAAATATAAAATCAAAGTAAAATATGAAAAAAAATATTATTTTATCCTTAATATATATTAGTGTTAAAATTATACATTTTAAAAAATAATTAGATATTATTTTTTTCACTTTTGTTTATATTGAGTATTAAAATTAATAAAGTTATAATAAGCCTAGTTATGAAACCTGAATTGGCCTAGTGAGTCAACTCGAGACCTGACTGACCTGGTGCCTGGGTAAATCCAGGTTTAAGAAAAAAAAATAGAGAAATGACTTATCCAACTTGACTCGGTCAAAAACTTTGGTCGACTCGACCAGGGATAAAACACAGTTAAGAAATTCATGGACTTCTTTGAATTGTTTTTGGTCGAAACAAGGTTGCTTTGATTTTTAAAAAAAAAAATGGGTCAACTCTGATTGACCATCCCGGCCTATGACCTTGCCCAATACTGACTCTTGAATTAGATTTTAAAACTATAATAATTATTATTTTTATCCATACATTGATTTCATATAATAATTATTATTTTTATTCATACATTGATTTCGGTTACATCCAAGTTGACCATCTTGACCCGTGACTCGACCTTGTTATGGGTTGACCCTGGAGTCAAGTTTAAAATTATAACAATAACTACTTTTATCCTTACGTTAACCCCGATCAATTTAGATTGACTCTTGGGCTTTATTTAAAGTCAATCCCTGAATTGAGTTTTAAAATTATTATAATAGCTACATTTATCTTTATGTTGACTCGAGTAAACCCAAGTTGATCCTCTTAATCTATGACCTGGTATGGTCAATGGTTAACCCTCAAGTCTAGTTTTAAAATTATGATAATAATTATTTTTATCCTTATATTAATAAAAGAAAAACTTGGATTGACCCTACCGACTTGTGACTCGGGTTATGTACCTGGTTAACTCTTGAGTTGGGTCACTACTTATCAATCAAATTGATAGGTTAATAATAAGTTTATGTTTAAGAAAGCAAAGAAAAAGGATTGACCCAACTTAACCTAGAAAAAACATGAATTGACTTATGACTCAAGTAAAACCCGTTGATTTTTTTTGAATTTTTTTTTCATTTTGATTCTTTTAAAAAGGTTGGTTTTATATGTAGGGTAGTATAGTCATTTCATAAATAACCAGTGGCGAAGCCATGATTTTTTAAATGAGAGGAAAAATTACTAACAAATACTTGATATTATGTATTATGTAGACATGCATTATATAGAAAATCAATTTAAAACATATGTACGAACTCATATAAAATGAAATTAATTTAAGAATACTTTTAAAATGAAAAAACTTAAATTATAATTGTTCTCTTCAAATTTTTATATTTTAAAACCGCTTCATAATAACTTTATTATCAATCTCATCGAAGATATCTTTCTCAATGTATATAAAAATTGTTACTTATTCACTTATCTCTCATTCTATTTCACAATCTACTTTTGACAATATACATGGCAGAAAAAAAAAACTCTTTCCACTTTAGTAGTTGCAACTAGTAGAAGTAATGACAATTCGATAAGTATATATACCAATAATTAATGCTAATACTTGTAAATCTCGTCAAGCATTCATGATTATAACTTATGTTAACAACAAATCAAGTTCCTTTCATAGCTCAGGTGTCGGTTATACCATACATTATGGGCTATGAAAGTGCCAAGCATTTGTTGTACCAAGTGTTATACAACATAAATCAAGATTAGTCATTTAACAAGCAAAGTATTAAAGAGTGAACAAGATAGCAAATATAAAACATGTTAGTATCAAACATTAAAGTCCATATTAAGTTTACATTATACTTATTCTTACACCATTAGTGTAACCTTTTCACCTTGACATAATTAACTTAGCTAGACATAATGAAAGAAAGCAAAATAGATAAACAAAATAAGAACATAAAAGTTAACTAAGTAAAGGAAAGGAAATGAAAGGCATAAACTTAATATTAATGAAAACAAAGCATAAAAAATACAAAGAGAGAA